TGTGACAGCTTGGCTCCCTCACACCATCGTGGCCGGGCTCCAAAGGGGCTAGTTTACTCACCCAGAGCAAAGAGGAAGTTCTATTGACATTTTCACCCTGACTTGCAGAATCATTCTCAGACATTCCATTCACAGAGGCATGCAATGTCTTGAATAGGAAATTGCCTCCCATTTGTTTTCCAGCTGGTGGCACTTTGGGGAAGATTCTAGAAATTTTGGGGCCTAGCTTTGGGAGGTAGGTCACTACTCCTTCTTTCTGCTCTCTGACTGTCATGAGATGTGTTCCTAATAATATCTCTAAGTTCATCAATATTTTCCTTCATTTTTGTTCGATAACTTGTCAATATGAGAAGGCATTGTACAGTAGTGCCAAGGAAAAAAATTCTGAGTCTAGATGGCCTAAATTATGATTCCAGCTCCATGGCCTACTCATTGTGTACCTTGGGCCAATTATCAACCTCAATGCCTCTATCTCTGCATCTGTAAAATGGGGGTAATCATAGCATGCCTCTGATACAGTTGCCATGAGATAATAGGTAATACGTATGAGCCCTCTGCCCATTCTCAGAACATAGGAAGTGCTACATAAAATATTTGTCATTATTGTGATGATGTATTCATTTATTCTTTTTTTTTTTCCTGGCTGGTCCTAGGACTTGAACTCAAGGCTTGTATGCTGTCCCTGAGCTTCTTTTGCTCTAGGCTAGCACCCTACCACTTGAGCCACAGCGCCACCTCTTGCCTATTCTGAGTAGTTTATTGGAGATAAAAGCCACAGCTTTTCTTGCCTGGGCTGGCTCCGAACAATTCTCAAATCTCAGCCTCCAAGTAGCTAGGATTACAGGCATGAGCCACTGGCACCCAGCTTTATTCATTTATTTTTTATTAATTTATTTATGATGGTACTAGAGTTTGAACCCAGAACCTCACACTTGCTAGACAGGTGCTATACCACTTTAGCCACACAGCCTTTTTTTATGCTAGACGGAGTAGCTTCCTACCCAGGTGCTCACCTGGCAAGATCTACCTATTTCAGTCTTCCTGTCACTGCTGGGATGGCACGGGTGTACCACTGTATCCATTCTCTATTGGGAAAGGGGTCTGCTGAATTTTCTCCTAGGCTGGGCTTGAACTACAATTCTTCCAGTTTCAGCCTTCCATGTAGCTCAGATTACAGACACAAGCCACCCCAGCACTTGCTACATTTTCTTTTCAATTCTTAGGGTAATGTGCAACTTATTTATTTTTATGTCTCTCAGTTTGTGGTATGATACCTGGCATCAATGATAGCCTTTCCCCATTCAACTTTTACTTCTAGAGTGTTGCCAAAATAATCTGTAATAATCTCTCCTCTTAATAAAACTTTGAATCATTCCCTGGTCCCTGGAAATCTGGTTTTATTATTATTACTATTATTTTTTAGTGGAATTGAACTCAAAACCTCACTCACTGAACTAGCACTCTATCACTTGAACTACACCTCCAGTCCCAGCCCTGTGTTTTTGTTGGTTATTTGGAAGATAGAATCCAGTGGGCTTTTCTACCTGGGCTGGCTTTGAACCATGATCCTCTAGATCTCAGCCTCCAGAATTATTAGGATTATAGTGTAAGCCACCAAAGGAGCCATTTGTTCCTTGCAAATCTTTCAGCAGAAGAACTTATCCAAAACTCTATATGCAAAGTGTTCGATATTCCCATTTATACCAAACATTGGTGTAAATTTTCCATTACTTTCTCCCCATATTTGTACATAAGCCATCCAAATGCATCTACATGCAGTCTAGGACATGTTGGAAAGAACAGGCTCTGGAAACTACCTGTCTTCAATTCCTGACTCTGGCACCTTCTACATAGTCACCTACTACTTATGTCACAGGACACAAGGCCCTTTCTCTCCGAATCTTAGCTTACCTATTTGTACCATGGAGACAGTAATATTACCTACTTCAGAAAGTTGCTGTGAGCATGACATAGGTGTTCAAAGATAGGAAGCAGCTAACCAGGAGTGATGGTGAGATACAAAGAAAACTTCAAATGGAGGATGGGATCACAAGTCTTCTGAGAGAAAACACTGACCTGTAATTACAACTGGTCAACCCACAGGTGACCTCAGCCCTATAGACTGGACCTAGGGAAAGGCATTTCTCACAGATTATCTCATTAAGTGCTCACAACTGCAAAGGTGAATGCTGATGTTCTCCAGAGACAACTGCTTTCAGTCTATGGAGAATGTATTTATAAGAGGCACTTAAAATGTTTCAGTTGTGAGGAAAGAACTAAAAGCAAGAGAAAAGCCTGGCATCTCTGCCTCCATTATTCTAATCTATTCTTTCTATAGTTACTTTGCAATCACCTTTGGTGCTCCAAGAAAGACAGGACTGACCGATAGTAAGGAACGGTAGACCCTTGTCTTTTTTTTTTTGTTTGTTTGTTTTTTGTCGGTCGTGGGGCTTGAACTCTGGGCCTGGGCGCTGTCCCTCAGCTCTTCAGCTCAAGGCCAGCGCTCTACCACTTGAGCTACAGCGCCACTTCCATGGTAGACCCTTGTAAGACAGATCATCCCAGACTGAATGACAACTATGGAGGGTGAGGAATCATCTTACAGGAATCAGACTACAGCCCTCAAGTGATGACAACGGTAACAACTTCTATGTAACAACTCCTATGAAACCCTGGAGAACCAGAGCTGAGATAAAGACCAACCAGGACATATTGGTAACTGGGACTTTTTTTTAAATACCAGTCCTGGGGGTTGAACTTAGGGCCTAGATGCTGTCCCTTAGCTTTTTTGCTCAAGACTAGCACTCTACCACTTGACACATAGCTCTACTTCTAGCTTTTTGGTGGTTAATTGGAGATAAGAGTCTTTTGGACTTTCCTGCCAGGGCTCGCTTCAAACCACGATCCTAGATCTTAGCCTCCTCCTGAGTAAGTAGGATTATAACACCCACCTGTAACTGGGACTCTTAAACTATGCATACTTTTGTTCCCTTCCCCTAATTCTTCCTGTATCTAAAACTACCACTCATGAAGATAGCTGATGATGAACTGTTGTGTTCTGGTGGCATCATGCCATGTAAAAATCTCCATTCTCTGTCATATTCCTTTCCGAATAAATTTTCCTATCACTTTCATTATGTTTTGTGTCTTGCTTGAATTCTGTCACTGGACTCAGGGACTAACTTAGCTTTTTGCAGTTGAATTAGGGATAAAACTATCACCAACTTCCCTGTCTGGGATGGCTTTGATCCTGGATAGCTAGATCTCAGCCTCTTGAGCAGCTAGGATGACAGGACATAAACTATCAGCACCTGGCTCTGTGAGATTTAACCAGCAACAAGTAGGAAGTAGAGGTGTGGCTCAAATGGTGAGCTGAAGATACTAAGCTAGAATTTGAAGGCCTGAGTTCAAGCCTTAGTATGGGTGCACGTGCACACATGTGCATGTGCACGTGCACGCACACACACACACACACACACGCACACAGAGAAAAAGTATTCTTTTCTGTCAAACTAAAGTGTGTTTGGTATTGTGACAGATATTTCCTGGAACTATTCGCTTTATTTACTTCAATTGTATCTGTTATCTGTACTGATTGTTACAAGCTGGCCATGTTAGGGAGCTAAATCTTGTGTTGAAAAAGTTAAAATAATACACTATAATTGCTAAGTGGGGGGAAAAAAAAAGTAAACCTTTGATAGAAATTAAAGAATGGCTCCCTTTCTAACCTTGGTAATCAATTGTACTTAGACTGTGAGCCTAACTTCTTGACAAGGAGGAGGGAGTTTGGATTGGCATAAAAGCCTAGGAAACTGCCCTGCACCGTGTGCCTGCCTAGCTCTAGGTAGAGTAATGTGGCATTGCACCATTTTGTGCAAAAGGAAATTGCCTACATCTCTTGTGTGCCTCTTCATTTCTGACACTGGAGGGTAGTGCATTTCTAACAGTTTAGTAACCTTGCTCAAGTTATAGACCTTTGATCTTGCTAGTACAAGATCAAACTCCCATATAGTGAGTGTGGTTCATGTTCAAGAGCCTGTCAACCTGGAGTCCACGACCACTCTGAAATCACACACAAAATGTGCTCTTCTTGTTCAGTTTTCACAGAAGAGATCCATTGTTTTCACCTACTTTATGACCTTTAAAAATAAAGTCTTAACTAAGAAGGTTAAGAACTCATGGCCTGGCCAGGTGATAGCTGAAGGACCTTCTAGGGGGAGGTGATTTTGCTAAAGCTTCCACCTTGTGAGATCTTTTTGTCAGCCTCCCTGAAATTCTTATCATGCCTGCATCTCCATGCAAGCATCTTCTGCTGGGAAACTGAGAAGCTCAGGGAACACCACCCCCATGCCCCATCGCTCCCCCCCCCCCCCCCCCCCCGCCCCGTGACAAGTTCAAGGGCACTTCCAGCACGTGCCCCCCCTCCATGGGAGACCCCCAAAATTCCAAGATTCAGAAACAAGGCAGAAATGTGGGGTGCCCATGTGTTAGCAACTCTTTGGGAGGAAATAAAGTACACCCGGAAACCAATTCACTGGGGGTGGGGGGGGGGCACTTTAGCTTAATGCAGTACAACTGCGGAGGTCGGAGGCCTCCCCTCTTGGAGGGCTGCCGGCTGGCCTGGGCCAGTGAAGGCATTTGCAGACCGCGCGTGGAGGGGGCAGAGGGGGGGGGGGCAGGGGGGGGACGCGGGATGGTTCACTTGTTTTACCTCCAAAGAGTTTTAGTTCAGAATGAAAGTCCACCATCATTCCGGCCCATGATTGTCTATTGTTTCTTTCAGCAGGTCTGACATCCGAAAGCAAAAACAAAAACCGGAAACGACAACAAAAAAGGCGAGAAAGCTCCCCAGGGAAGCCGAGCCCAGCACCCCGGGGCCCTCGTCCTCCCGCGGTCCCTTTAAGAACCTCTCGGGGGACCGTCGTCAGTCCCACACGGACCCCAGCTCTAACCGAAGCCCTAGCCCGACTTCCCCCTCTTGACTCCAAGAAGACCAACTTTGGATTTTCCCTCCCGTGCTGACCAATCAGCTGCTGTTGCCAGGCAGACTTTAGCGGCCGCCCGTGCGAGTCTCCCGCGCCTTCTCATCTCCGGGTGGCGGCAACGACCAATGAGCGGGCAGGCCGGCCGTGTATCCGGGCAGACCCTGGCTCTCACAACCATTCAGAAAAAGGAAAATAAAGCAACGCACGAGCCCGCCGCCGAGCCCGGACGGCAGGGCTGGGCTGGAGTGAAGGTGGCTGCGAGGTAGTTTCTCTTTTTCTCCCTTCTCCTTGATTGTTGCTCTTGTCGGAAGTCGGTTGTCCAGAGGTAGGGGTGGGGGTGGGGGGAACACAGGAGTTGGGAGGAGAGCAAGAAAATAAATTATTAATAATAATAATAGATTTGGGCTGTATTTTCAACAGCTTCTTCACCCATGTGCACGTGCCTCCCCCTCCCCATTCCCCTACCGAGATTCCTACACCTCATTCCAGGCGCTCTGCGCCTCCTCCCCCTCCACTTTGCAGCAACGGGGGTGGTGGTGATTGAATGGGGAAGGGGGCCAAGGAGGGAGGTCAGGGCGCACATCAAGATGGGATGTTGGGGTGATGACGTAGGAGCCGGCGGAGGCCGGGGCAGTCGCGCAGAACTTGGGCCCAGTTTGGAGGTGGCTGTGTGTGTGTGTGTGTGTGTGTGTGTGTGTGTGTGTGTGTGTGTGTGTGTGTGTGTGTGTGTGTGTGTGTGTGTGTGTGTGTGTGTGTGTGTGTGTGTGTGTGTGTGTGTGTGTGTGCCGAATATGTTCATATCCCTTCTGACTGTGTGTGTGTGTGTACCGAATATGTTCATATCCCTTCTGACCTCCCAGGCCAAAATAAATAAATAATCTACGGTTAAGGAGTATATTAAGAGGATTGGAGAACTTTATTTTGTCTGGTAGAGAAGGACAGGGTCAAGGAAGGGGAAATTTCTTTCTAATGTAGATTCCACAACCCCCTTATTTCTTCCTTTACAGTTTTCCAGATTTTGGAAGACTATAGAAAGGGGACAGGTAGAAAAGAGATGGCAGAGATGGCTTTGGGTTTACATGGGCCTGGCAAAGTAGTGGACTAATTTCTAAGTTTTGGAGAAGGCAAAGAGTAAGTGAGGAGGGAAACTCCACTAGGGAAATCTGGCAGTTTTACTTCTGTTTTTTGCCTTTCTGGGTAGAGAGGACTTTCTTGGGGTCTTCAGAGGAAGGGACAGCTGATGTGAGTTAAATCTTAATACCCTCTCCCCTCTCAGCTGTAGCTTTCATACAGGCATGGCAGAAGATGAGCCTGATGCTAAGAGCCCTAAGACTGGGGCAAGGCCCCCCCAAGGTGGTACAGATGCTGGGGAACCTACCACACTTCTTCAAAGGCTCCGGGGTACCATTTCGTAAGTATTCATTCCCATCTCCAAATCCTATCAAATCCTATTCCAGACCCCTCTGGAGACCAATTGCCTCCCATCAGGCAAGTACATTGGGGCAGGAGAACACTCTGCTATGCTGGCAATTCTTTTTTTTTTTTTTTTTTTTTTGGGGGGGGTCCGGTCGTGGGGCCTGAACTCTGGGCCTAGGCGCTGTCCCTCAGCTCTTCAGCTCAAGGCAAGCGCTCTACCACTTGAGCCACAGCGCCACTTCCGGCTTTTTTCTTTTTGCTTATGTGGTGCTGAGGAATCGAACCCAGGGCCTCAGGCATGCAAGGCAAGCGCTCTACCACTGAGCCACCTTCCCAGCCCTACGCTGGCAATTCTTGAGCTTCTCTAGGCACTTAAGTCCTTTCCCCAAGTTGGGAGGGAAAAAAAAAAATCCAAACAGATACAGGGATGGGAAAACCTCATGACCTCTAGCTTTCTCTTCTTCTCTACAGCAAGGCCGTGCAGAACAAAGTAGAGGGAATTCTGGTAAGCACATTGGGATGAGGGCAGTGGGATGGGATGGGTAAATGAAAGGTTCATGTAAGAGAGGCAGTGTGGTCCACCTCAGCAGAAGATAATTGGCTTTGCACATTGCTGCATCTTACATCATCTGTCATCCTTCTCTGACTTCTCATTTAGAAGCCCTGAAGAGAGAAAATCAGAGCTGTTCCCTTTCTTTCCATGATAGTCCATAAGGGTTCCATGAGCCACAGTGAGCACTTTGCCTCAAGTCGTCTGAGTTCTCCCTGACATAGTCTGACAACCTATGAATCATCAGGACATAGATGATAAGGATCAAGAGAACATGGATTTGGTCTTTCTGCATCTTATTATTTCTCTCCCCTTCCTTGTTACCTCAGCAAGATGTACAGAAATTCTCGGACAATGACAAGCTCTATCTCTACCTTCAGCTACCTTCAGGGCCCAGCACTGGAGACAAAAGGTTGGTTTGGTGGCAGAGTTTTAAAAGTCAGAGGCGCTGATTCTTAGAGACAATCCCATTTGAAGGGGCAGGAAGAGTAGGAAAATACATAGCTCCTATCTATGACCAAGAAAAAGGCCCCTAGCTGAGCGCTGGTAGTTCACACCTCTAATCTTAACTACATAGGAGGCTGAGAGCTAAGGATCTCTGTTCAAAGCCAGCCGGGTCAAGAAAAATCTAGAAGATGCTTATCTCTAATTAACCACCAGAAGTGGAGCTGTGGCTTAAGTGGGAGAGTGGCAGCCTTGAGTGAAATAGCTAAAGGACAACACGCAGATCCTAAGTTCAAGATCTACTATCCTTGCCCAGCAGGGAAAGATGGATTCCAGGTGGACTAATTTGGTTCAGTATTACTGAAATAGTAGTTGGGGAAGAACCAGGACAACTGTTGGCCTTTTGCTAATGCTTGTCTCTATAACTTCTCTTGCAGCTCAGAGCCAAGTACACTCAGCAATGAAGAGTATATGTATGCCTACAGGTGGATCCGCAACCACCTGGAAGAGCACACGGACACCTGTCTGCCAAAACAGAGCGTTTATGATGCTTATCGGTGGGTGGAGGGGGTGGGCATAGGACTAATCCCACACTCCTGCAAAGCCCCCTCCCTACCTTGCTAGAGTTTGACTTCTTGAATGATTCCCCCACACTTGATCTCTAGGGACTCTCATAACCCACCCATAGTCTCCTCCTCTGAGTATCTTGCAATCTGCCCCTCACTCACTCAGGAAGTATTGTGAGAGTCTTGCCTGTTGCCGCCCACTCAGCACAGCCAACTTCGGCAAAATCATCAGAGAGATCTTTCCTGACATCAAGGCCCGAAGACTTGGTGGCCGGGGCCAGTCTAAATATCCTTGACTGGAGAGGTTGGGACCTGAAGACCTGGGGAGGAAATCATAGGATGTGGAGAGCCAGGTGAAAATGGCCTAATTTGCCCTTTAAGGGGCCTGGAGTGCCCCAATGTTAGCTGCTCCTTAACTTGGCATCAGATATTGCTACAGTGGTATACGAAGGAAAACCTTGGTGTCTATGCCACCCTTGCCTGGACTTGACCTAAAGGGTTCAGAAAGTGTAAGTAACAACTCCATTCTTCTTTCCTGGCTTTTTGGAATGCTGGGAATTGAACCCGGGGCCGTACACATGCTAAGCAAGTACACTCCACTTGGGCTCTCAGCCCTTTTGCTTTTATTTTGTCTTTGAGACAGGGTCTTGCTACTTTTGCCTAGGCAGGCTTCAAATTCAAGATCCTCTTGCCTCTGCTTCCTGGGTAACTTGAGATTACAGGTATACACCATGATTACCTGGCTTTAGAACATGTGTGGAGGGCTGACAAAGTCTAAGTCATTTGTACATTGCTTCTGGGTATCCTTCTGATTCCTCTATAGCTGAAGGAAAGGGAAAAAGAGTTTGTGGATTTCTGGGTTGGGATGGTCTCAGTCTGATCTCAGCTTTGGTCAGTAGAAGTGTCAGGGGAAGGGTTCTGTCGTTTGTAATGTGATTGGGCATCTTTTGCCACTACAGCCAGAAATGGGCCCAGAAGTAACCCCAGGACCTCCGGATGAGTTGGTAGAGGCCGCCTGCGCCCTGACCTGTGACTGGGCAGAGCGGATCCTGAAACGGTCCTTCAGTTCCATTGTTGAAGTTGCCCGCTACCTGCTCCAGCAGCACCTCATCTCTGCCCGATCTGTACATGCCCATGTGCTTAAGGCCATGGGGCTGACTGGTGAGTGGACCTTCTCATGTATGTGAAATTCTCAACCACTTGCAACTTTTTTTTTTTTTTGCTGGTTGTGGGGCTTGAACTCAGGGCCTGAGCGCTTTCCCTGAGTCTCTTTGTACTCAAGGCTAGTGCTCTACCACTTGAGCCACAGTGCCACTTCCGGTTTTGGGTGGTTAATTGGAGATTAGAGTCTCACTGGGACTTTTCTGCCCTGGCTAGCTTCAAACTGTGATCCTCAGATCTTGGCCTCCGAAGTAGCTAGGATTACAGGCATGAGCCACCAGCATTTGGAACAACTTTTTTTTTTTTTTAATGAGTCTTATTATGTTGCCCAGGCTACTCTCCAACTCCTGCACTCAATTGATCCTCCCACCTCAGCCCCCTTAAGAAGCTAGGACTACAGGCAGGCACCATGACATGCCTGGTTTCACATTCTTGTATACCAGAATGGACACTTCAGCTTTTTTTGGGGGGAGGGGGTCCGGTCGTGGGGCCTGAACTCTGGGCCTGGGCGCTGTCCCTCAGCTCTTCAGCTCAAGGCTAGCGCTCTACCACTTGAGCCACAGCGCCACTTCCAGCTTTTTTCTTTTTGCTTATGTGGTGCTGAGGAATCGAACCCAGGGCCTCAGGCATGCAAGGCAAGCACTCTACCACTGAGCCACCTTCCCAGCCCGGACACTTCAGTTTTAAAGTCCACCTTGATATCAGAATGGACACTTCAGATTGCCTTCTGTTCCTAGAGTCCCTTTGTAGACATGCTTTGACCACCTGCTTTGCCCTGTCTCCTCGGGGCAAATTCTTCAGTATTATTCTCACCCTCATTCTATTACCTTTTCTGACACCTCTGGCAGAAGAGGATGAACCCGCCCCTAGGGAAAGGCATTCTAAATCCAAGAATGGAGCAGAGAATCTGGAAGGTGGAGTCCATAAGAAACCTGAAAGGCCAGCTCAGGTAAGGAAAATGCCTCTAACTTTTTCCCTGGTGAGCCCCCTACTTTTTCTCTTCTGGTGCCTCAAGTGCCTACATTTCTTTCCACATTCATTCCTTTTTTTTTTTTTTTTTTGCCAGTCCTGGGGCTTGAACTCAGGGCCTGGATGCTGCCCTTGAACTTCTTTTGCTCAAGGCTAGCACTCTACCACTTGAGCCACACCACCACTTCCAGCTTTTTCTGTTTATGTGGTACTGAGGAATTGAACCCAGGGCTTCATGCATGCCAGGCAAAGCACTCTACCACCAAGCCATGTTCCCAGCCTCCACGTTCATTCTTTGAACCCTACTGTGATCATCTCTTTTGCTTTTTAGCCTCCTAAGGAACTGGAAGCCCGGGCAGGGGCTAGCCCTCCAGTGCGTGGTGATCGGAAGAAGAGTGTAATTGAGAGCTCGGCCTCAGCACCCAGTAACCCACAGGTCAATGCCCTAGTGGCCCGGCTGCCTCTGCTCCTTCCCCGGGCCCCTCGAGCACTGATTCCACCAATTCAAGTCTCTTCACCCATCCTGGCCCCCAAGATTTCTTCAAGCACACTGAAAGTGGCTACACTACCTCTTCCCAGTAGGGCTGGAGGACCCCAAGCAGCGGTACCCATCATTAACATGTTCTTACCAACTGTTCCTGCTTTGCCTGGGCCTGGACCTGGACCTCAGTCTGGGCCAGGCCCAGGGCGAGCCCCAGCTGGGGGACTTACTCAGTCTCAGGGAACAGAGAACAGAGAGATAGGCATAGGTGGTAACCCACGACCCCATGACAAGGCTGTCAAGAGGACAGCTGAAGTACCAGTAAGTGAGGCCAGTGGGCAGGACCCAGCAGTTAAAGCAGCAAAGCAGGATACAGAGGATACAGTAAGTGATGCCAAAAGAAAACGTGGGCGCCCTCGAAAGAAGTCTGGTGGAAGTGGGGAAAGACATTCCACCCCTGAGAAGTCAGCAGCTGCCATGGACTCTGCCCAGGCCTCAAGGTTATCATGGGAGAAGTGGAGTTCAGGAGGGAAAAGCAACTCAGCTGGAGAGTCAGAGATGCCAGGGCCAGCAGGAGAGGCTGAGCAAGGGGCAGCGCTTGCCCTTGGTCAGGAAGATGTTGCTGGTTCCAAAGGAGGAAGGGCCCCCAGTTTGCAGCAAGCCAAAGAAACAGAAGATAAAATTGCTCTTGTTCCCCCAAAAGTGAGTGTAATCAAGGGCAGCAGAAGCCACAAGGAGGCTCTTCAGTTTGTAAAAGGAGAGGCAGACACTGCAGCGCAGGGAAAAGGCTTCAAGGGGCATGTCCTTCAAAGATCCTTAACCCATGAGCGGAAAGATCCTAAAGCAACACCCCCCTGATAGACCTGTGGGGAAGAGTGGCTAGATCTACATATTAACTACCTGATCGCCTGCTAGAGGCCTTTCTCTGCACTTGCTTCTTACTTGGCTGTTTCCCTAAGGGAATCCATTGTCCTCTGCATAGACGGCTGAGTCACCCAGTGTTACATAGAGCCTGGTGGCTGCTTTTAACCTTTCTAGCTCAATACTTTGACTTTCATATAACACAAATCTGTAGTGGCCTTCTGGTCTGGATCCCTTTGCTCTCCTCTGGGAAGGCAAGGGTAAGTATGATGAATGTATAGCTAAGGATCTCCATAACCTAACTCAAACTCATTTATCGGCTCATGTAACTGAAAGTCTAGAGGTAGTGCTGGCTCTAGGCGAAATTAGACCTGGCAAAATCAGTACGTTTCCAAAAACCTGATTTTTGGTCTCACTGCTCCACCTAATGTAAACCATCTTAAGCCCGGGTCACCTCATAGCTGCCAGCATGCCTAAGATTACATGTTTGCCCATTTATGACCAATTGGAAAGAGAGGGTATCATTGTGCCAGATATCCTAGTAAAAGACTCACTGATTAAGCCAGCCTGGTCACACGTCCACCCCTGACCAATTAGTGTGGCCAGGAGGATGGTAAGCAGCTATGCTTATACCACACCTTCAGGGGAAAAGGGTAGAATCAGCCTCCTTGAGGTCAGATTCCACAGATGAAGACTGGGTTTCTGGGAGGCAGCTAACAGCCTTCAACAACTACCAGGTGCATGCATTTTAAGCTTGATAAGTCTAGATCAGCTAGACTTTCCCTTCAGTCTTGCATTTCCCTTACCGCAGCTATAGCTTCTTTCCTCTTGATCTGGCCTCTGAAGAGAGAGAAGGAAGTCATTCTCCTTTGGAGACTTTCTTCATCCTCACCTATTAGACACATACTTTTTTTCCCACCTACATCTCAGAAACAGACCTTTTGTTTTCTTCTCTTTTTCTGAACTTACACTTTCTTCTCACTCCCTATCCCCCAGTCTGTTGCCCCTTTCACCAAGTAGAGTGAGATTACTTCCTAGTTATTTCATTAAATTCATTCTGTATCCACCAGGTGTCAGTCTCTTGTCATCCATGTGTCAGGCTGAATCTGTGGGGTTTAGGCTGCTTGTACAGAAAGAGGTGGTCCTTCATGTCAGGGAGCTCAGGTGGGAAGGAGATCCAGATCCTCTGGGTATGTCCATGAGAAAAGCAGTAAACCAGTCCTTATTTATTGAGGACCTCCTTTGTCCTCTAAGTAAGAGAGCATCTGTCAGGGAGTCTCGGCTCTTCCCAAGAAATACAGATTTTTCTTTCTTTCAGGGAGATGGCATTCATTTGTATTTCCACCATAAAATCCCCAGTTTTTTTTAAAATTATAACGTGATATTTGATATCTATAAAGAATATATGTAACATGAATAAATTATGATATGTAACAATAAAATGAGTACCTATGACCCATCACTCGTATATATATATATATATATATATATATATATATATACACACACAGATACACACACACACACACACACACATATATATATAATCATTAGAAATACTATGTTTATATCCCTGCCCCACCCTAGACCCCCCCTTTTAGAGGTAACCACTGTCCTTAATTTATATTTATAAATCATTTGTTATATGTATTTCAACCATATGTATAATATCTTTTTAAGAATATATTTAGTTTTTTAGCTTTACAAGTGTTACATTTCATCCTTTGACATTTGCTTTCATGCACTTAACATTGTTTCTAAAATTCATCCCTGTTGCAAAATTGTGATTCATTTTCATCTGTATAATAATCCATTAAGTACATAAAGCACAACTTTACCATACCTGTCAATGGATATTTGAGCTGTTTCTACTTTGTGCTATTATATAATGCTGCTATGAACATTCTTGTACATGTTAGTGCCTTTGTAGCAAAATTTCTAAAGAGTTCTAAGATGGTCCTTTTGGTCTGTAAACCTCTAAGTTGGGGACTGTCAAATCTTGTCTTATTCTCTAGTAAAGTTTACAACAGACTGAAATGAACTATTCTTGAACTTTTGGTAAAACCTTGTAAAGTTTTAGGTTTCTTTGTGGGAATAATTGGTACAATTTCTTTTTTTTTTTTTTTTGGGGTCCAGTTGTGGGGCCTGAACTCTGGGCCTGGGCGCTGTCCCTTAGCTCTTCAGCTCAAGGCTAGCACTCTACCACTTGAGTCACAGCGCCACTTCCGGCTTTTTTTTTTTTCTTTTTGCTTATGTGGTGCTGAGGAATCGAACCCAGGGCCTCAGGCATGCAAGGCAAGTGCTCTACCACTGAGCCACCTTCCCACCCGGTACAATTTCTTTAGTAACTATAGATAACTACATTTCCTCTTGAGTCAGTTTAGACAAAGTGATTTTCCAATATTCTTGTGCTTTTCATGTCTTTTAAAAAATGTAACAGGAAGTTCTAATATTCTAGTAGTCAGATCCTTTTCATTTCTATTGTTTAACCTGTGCCACCTTTTCCCCTTAATCAATTTGCTAGAAATTTGTGGAGGGGTTTGTTTGTTGTCAGTTGTAGGGCTTGAACTCTGGGCCTAGGCACTGTCCATCAGCTCTTCAGCTCAAGGTGAGTGGTCTACCACTTGAGTCACAGTGCCACTTCCAGTTTTCTGGTGGTTTATTGGAGATAAGAGTCTCATAGACGTTCCTGAGCCACTGGCACCTGGCCTTGAGCCAGTTTTTGATTGGTCAATTGGAGATAAGAGTCTCAATTGGACTTTTCTGCCCCCTGGGCTTCAAAGTGTGACCCTCAGATCTCAGCCTCCTGAGTAGCTAGGATAACGGGTGAGCCACCAGCATATGGCTTGGAGACTTAGGTTTTTATCTTGTTAAAAATGTTTTGGCAGGGGCTGGGAAGGTGGCTCAGTGGTAGAGCGCTTGCCTTGCATGCATGAGGCCCTGGGTTCGATTCCTCAGCACCACATAAGCAAAAAGAAAAAAGCTGTTAGTGGCATGTTTTGGCGGGGGGCTGGGAAGGTAGTTCAAGTGGTAAGAGCGCTAGCCTTGAGCTGAAGAGCTGAGGGATAGCACCTAGGCCCAGAGTTCAAGCCCCACGACCGACCAAAAAAAATATTTTTTTAATTTGTTGGGATTATTTTATATTCTGTAAGTTATTTTGGAAGTCTAAATCTGTTTTAATGCTTTCTGCTGACGTTTGCCTATAGTAACTTGTTTCCTTGTTTGTTGTCTTCTGTGTGCGTGCGTGCGTGCATGTGTGCATGTGTGTGTGTGCCACTCCTGGGACTTGAATTTAAGGCCAGGGTGCTGTCCCTGAGTTTTTTTTGCTCAAAGTTAGCACTCTATCACTTAAGCCACAGCTCCACTTTAGGCTTTTTGGTGGTTAATCAGAGATATGAGTCTCATAGACTTTCCTGTCTGAGCTGGTTTCAAACTGTGATCCTCAGATCTCAGCCTCCTGAGTAGCTAGGATGCCAGGAGTGAGCCACCAGTGCCTAGCTACATTTTATCTTAGGGTTTTTAACACATTCTTTGTTTAACGTTGTGGGAACCCAAGGGCCCAAATTAGGTGTTTTCCTCTAGAAAGAATTTGTACTTAAGGGTTGGGAAGGTGGCTCAGTGGTAGAGCGCTTGCCTTGTATGCATGAGGCCCTGGGTTCGATTCCTCAGCACCACATAAGCAAAAAGAAAAAAGCCAGAAGTGGCGCTGTGGCTCAAGTGGTAGAGCGCTAGCCTTGAGCTGAAGAGCTGAGGGACAGCGGCCAGGCCTAGAGTTCAGGCCCCACAACTGGACCAAAAAAAAAAAAAAAAAGAATTTGTACTTAAGTTTCACCAGGTTGTGCCCCTTACTTGGGATTGTTTCAGCCTCTTCCTAGAGTACAGGGTTAAGCCAGGCACTAGCTCTCCAGGAGGCTGAAATCTGGCCAGCTACCCTAGAAGTTTGCTAGACACTATCTCCAAAATAACCAGCAAAAACAGGGCTGGAGTCATAGCTCAAATAGTAGAGTACCATCCTGGAAATCGCAAGGGACTGAGTTCAAACCCCAGTACCACTAAGGAAAAAAAAAAATATAGTCCAGGTTTAGAAGGCTGAGGGTATAGCTCACTGGCAGAGTGTTTGTCCAGCATGTCTGTGGCTCTGGGTTGGAGGTGAGGGTGAAAGTCCAGATTTAATTTAGGAGTCCCAAGTTTTTAACCCTTTACTTAGTTGATCCATGGTTTACAGAATTCACAACATTGATTTAGGCATTTGTCCTCAAGGCAAACCTGGTTCTACCACATGTTGTTCATCTTTTGTGAACGCTTCAGCTTAATGATATATATTTTTTCTCCGTTAGTATTTTAGTATTTTCCCTTTTTTAATTAGCGCAGCAAAGTGGTAACAATTATGCTATTGCTATAATTGACCCAGAAGGTACTTGCATTTTAACAGGAGAGTGCTCCATATTATTCATGCTGCTAGGAATCTATTAACAAAGTTGTAACATTTTCTCCTTTGTTTTTCTAAATGTTTGGCACTTGCTTTACAGCAGCAGCTTCCTGAGATTCTGTCTTCAAACATTCTAGGTGGGAAGGTAGAGAAGTTAATGATGATCACACAGAGTATGAGTTCCATGCACCCAGGGCTGTGTAGGGCAGAGGAATAGCACTCAGGTGAAAAAGTTATCTTGCTGGTAGAGGTAAATAGGAGTTAGAAGGTCAAGTCTAGTTCATAAAGCAAAGGCAAAGGTAAGCCCAGTACTTGTGACTCATGCCTAATCTTACCTACTCAGAGGCTGAGATCTGAGGATTACAGTTCCAAGCCAGCCCAGGTAGGGAAGTTTGTGAGACTCTCATCTCCAATTAATCATCAAAAAGCCAGAAGTGAAGCTGTGGCTCACGTGGTAGAGAGCTAGCCTGGAGCAAAAAGAAGCTCAGAAAGCAGGTGGCTCATGCCTATAATTCTAGCGACTCAGGAGGCTGAGATCTGAGGATCACAGTTCAAAGCCAGCTCAGGCAGAAAAGTCCCTGTGAGACTCTTATCTCTAATTAGCCACTCAAAAACCAGAACTGGTGGCTGTGGTTCAAGTGGTAGAACGCTAGCTTTGAGTTAAAGAGCTCAGGGACAGAGCCCAGGCCCTGAGTTCAAGGCCCACAACTCCCAAAAAAAAAAAAAAAAAAAGGTAAAAAGAAGCTCAGACTGCCCTAAGGCCCCGAAAAGCAAAAATAACATAGGCATATAGTGAAAAAAAGTAAGACCTATTGTTTTGAGACTCTCAGAGAACTGTAAATGCAGGGACATCAGTTTGAGCTGAGTAATCTGGGAAGGCTTTGTGGAAAACTTAAGGCTTGGAGGTAAAGTGAAATCTAGTAGAGCATTTTAGAAAACGGTGGGGATGTGGCATGGTATGGTAACCTAGGAGAGACATGATTAGGAGAAATATATAAGCACAATAGTGAGGGCTAGGAATGTGGTAGAGTGCTTGCCCTAGCATGCATGATGCCCTCGGTTTGATTCCTCACTACCACATGCACAGAAAAAGCTGGAAGTGGCACTGTGGCTCAAGTGGTAGAGTGCTAGCCTTGAGCAAAGGAAGCTCAAGCAGAGCACTGGTGGCTCACACCTGTAATCCTAAATACTCAGGAGGCTGAGATCTAAGGATGGCTGTTCAAAGCCAGTCTGAGCAGGAAAGCCCAGGAGACTCTTATCTCCAATTAACCACCAGAAAACCGGAAGGGGCGCTGTGGCTCAAGAGGTATAGCGCTAGCCTTGAGCTGAAGAGCATAAGGACAGCATCCATACCAACTTCAATCCCCACGACTGACCAAAAAACCCAAACAGACAATAGTGAGAAACTGGAAGAGCACCTAGCATTATAGTTATTTGTTGTTTGAAAGAAACTGAATTTTTAAAAAAAGTGAGAAGTTGGTATTAGTGTATGGAGAACTGGAGTCTAGAGCTGTTGACATTATCCAAGTAGGAGCAGATGAGGGACTGACCCTGACGCTGACATTAGAAGTGATCAGCATAGGGAAAAAGAAATCACTGGTAATAAGATATATAGAAGCAGCCGGGCGCTGGTGGCTCACGCCTGTAATCCTAGCTACTCAGGAGGCTGAGATCTGAGGATTGTGGTTCAAAGCCAGCCCGGGCAGGAGAGACTGAGAGACTCCTATCTCCAATAAACCACCAGAAAACCGGAAGTGGCGCTGTAGCTCAAGTGGTAGAGCGCTCACCTTGAGCTGGACAGCGCCCAGGCCCAGAGTTCAAGCCCCACGACCGACAAAAAAAAAAAAAAAAAAAAAGATATATAGAAGCTACCTAGGAAATATCCTCACCATGACTGGGGATGGGACATATCTATTCACTGGAATACCAGACCATTGGATGATTTTGAGATTTGTGTGGAACTTAAAGTAGTCTCATGCACCCTATTGTTAAAATGGAAGACGAAACAGGTTACTTCTGCATAGTTGAAACAACCTTCAGTTTATTAGATGAATAGCTGAACTTAAGATTGTAGAGGAGTACCTACTGCTTCCCCTCCCACATTCCTGACTTTTGCCCCTTCACAATCCCCAGGTCCCTACTGCCTTCCATAGGGTCTTTTTTTATTGAAAGAATGATGAGCTGGAGGGTTACAGTTACATAGATAAGGCATTAAATACGTGTGTATGTGTGTGTGTGTGTGTGTGTGTGTGTGTGTGTGTGTGTGTAGCTCATAGGGCTAGCTTTCTTTCTTTTTTTTTTTTGGGGGGGGGTCTGGTTGTGGGGCCTGAACTCTGGACCTGGGCGCTGTCCCTCAGCTCTTCAGCTCAAGGCTAGCGCTCTACCACTTGAGCTACAGTGCCACTTCCGTTTTTCTGGTGATTTA